AGGCATCTACAGTCTTTATTTATTCAGTGAAGGTTGAACTTGGTGTATTTCATTGTGAAAATGCTAGTACATGTGAATACAAGTGTTCCTCCAGATCGTCTCACATGAGACATGGTCTGGGGACTAGGTTCTGAGTTTTCCTTTCCTTAAATCAAAAACTATTGTAACTATTTGAATAAACATAGATTTTGTACATGAACAAATGTAGATTGTTGTACATGAAAAATATTAGGCATCCCCTGAAAGTAAGCCATACAGTCTTTTGGAACAAAAATTGATTTAAGACCTGGTCTTATTTTGGAGGGAATACATTAAGTGCCTGACTTAAGGATATTTAGTAGTCATCTTTTGCCTAATTTTGGAATTAAGTTGCCTGCTGGATATTGAACCAATACTCAGGTCTACGACTGTATTCTTGAGTTTTTTCCTTTTCTTCAGGAGTACAGTGCAGGCTTTTGGGTTAGGTATGTACTGTGTAAGCAAAGATGAATCAAATGGATTTCTTCCATGTCTCCATCCTAGTAGCATAGCTGTCTTTACTCTTTCTGTGTGAGGACCAGGCTGCTTACTTTTACTGCACTGAAGAAGAAATTGTTTCTGTACCATTTGGTGAATTTGAGGATGCACAGTTGGCAGGCATCCTAAAGTGAGGCCCTTTAGCATCTGACCTTTGTCTACAGAGCTTGGAATTTACTGAGAATTTTTTACTTGAATCAGGGATATTGGGGATGCTACATGAATACTGTACTCTCTCTGTGACAGGGAAGAAGCAGGCACACCCCCACAGAGCTTGTCCTAAGATCAGCCCCTCTGCTCACCTCCTTGATCCTTCCCTAAGTTGTGGACTCCATTACCCCATCATGGCCCTTTAGTGAGGATTAATGGGGATCATGCTCTCAGGCTGCAGGGCACAGTGGCTGTTAGGGTTGGGCACTTAATAAATGGAAGCTATTACTACTCAGATATGCTGAGAATGGAGCCCAGAACCCGGATGTGAACTTCCTGACAAATTACTGAGCAAGTTCCAGCCCCAAAAAGTGTTCTGCCCCTCCCTCCAGAGTCCATAAGGCTGTGAATATTGAGAGAGAATGTGCTGCCCCAAGAAGTGGCCAGCAGAGTTTGCCCAGGGAGTGGCAGATAGCTGTAGTCCTTTAGTTGTGCCACAGACAGTTTCCTCATCTGAAACCATGAAAAGAGCATGATGTCATTGTAGGGATGTTCACTGCAGATTAAGGACAAAATGGGAAATCAGAGTGGAAAAGTTCTGCTGTGGTGAAGCAGATGGTCTGCTTTATCCATGGGACTGTGTTCCAAGATCACTGTCAGTGTCTGAAACTGTGGGTCGTACTGAGCCCTGGACAGCCTGTGTTTTTGTTCCTGTACATATATACTTATGATAAGATTTAATTTGTAAATTAGGCACACTAAGAGATTAACCATAATAATGTGGTAAGAGAAGAATTATAACAATTCACTTTAATAAAAATTACATGAATGTGGCCTGTCAATATGTTATTACACTTTGACTCTTCATTTATAAAAGCAGTTTATGGTCTCTTCTTGGCAAACTTAATTGCCAGCATCTCTACTATTGCATTTTAGGTCAGTATCAAGTAAAATAAGGACCCAAGTACAAACTCAGTCGCTGCTCTAAAAACTGAGGTGCTACTATGTGGCTACTGGGTGGGTAGCGTATACAGGCTGGGTACACATCCTGATTCACAGGATGGAATTTTTATTACGCTTCTCAGAGTGTTATGCAAGTTAGAATTCATGAGTTGCTTATCCCTGAGATTTTCCATGTACGGTTCGCTGACCCATTTGGCTTAAAGCTGAGGAAAGGGAAGCTGTGGGCAAAGAGAATGCCTGTAGTTTAAACACGCTGTGTGGGTTGCCTTCTTCATGGAGTTCGCCTGTGAGGACTTCAACCAAAGCCTGCATTTCCCTCAGGAAGACGCTTGGGACTTGCTGCAGGGTGGACGCGGTGCCTTGCTTGAGACCTATGGTTCTGTGCTGCAAATGAGCAAGACACACGTGGGCTTGAAACTGTACTAAGCACATGTTAGCACTTGTCCATTGGGACTTTGGGGGGGGGGGTCACAATAAGGTTCCCGTAGAGCTTCTTGTTTTTCACAGCTAGTTTGTCTTCAAAGGCTGAGGGAAAAAAATCAGTCTTTATCATGTGTCATATACCAGCATAACATCTGGACGGATGTTGTGTTAACCGGTCAAATACAAACGGCAGGTGACTGACAAATGCAGTCACTTTTATTTTGTGTTCCGGCTGCATTTCATTCCTTTCTCCAGATGAGACAAGGGACCATGTGTCTTCAGGTTCCCTCAGCAAGAGGATTCTGGTACATATCTGAGGAACATGCTCTTCCCGTCAGGATGTTACTGAGGAAGGGGTGCAGTTCCTGTAGATAGAGAGTATTGGGAGAGGATGGGCTGAAATCCTTCTTTTTCTCTACAGAGCTTTACATTCTGTGCTGAACAGGGAAACTTTACTTTGATGTGATAAAGATTATACTTAAAAGCAGCAGCTGTCATCATTTTCAGTGATGAAACATGACAATCTCATTAAAATCAAGCACAGAGATCTCCCCTGTCATCCTTTCATAATTTTTAATAGCATTATTTTAGAAGTTCTGAGTAATACAAGAAGATCTAACATAGGAAAAAGAGGAATGGCCTGTTGGAAAGAATGGGGCAGACTATCATTCTTCATAGTGTAATAGTGTCATGGTGTGTATAAAATCTGAAGAGACCCACCAGAGGGTTATATGTCACTGAGAATTTAGTGAAGTGACTAGAGATTGGCATTCCACATGAGCGGGTATCAATAGGTAACCGGTAGAGACAAGTATGTGTATTTCCCAGACTCTCATGAAATGTTTAGGGGTAATTTTAAGATATGTATGGGAATTCTGAGGAAGACTACTACAAAACACTGACAGAGTTAAAAGGAGATTTGAATAAAAATTAAAAGATTTGACACATTCTAACGTGAAGAATGTTGTGAAGGTGTTACTTATCAAATTTGACTAAATGTTTGATTTAAATAAGTGCAGCTTCATTCCAAATCCCAGTGGGATTAAAATTGAATAAGTGATTAATTTTGGAAAAATAGATGAAGATAAAATAGCTAAGTAAGCTTTAAAATTTTTTGTTGAGGAAGAAAAACTGGCGCTTGCAAGTATTATGGAAGGTAAAGTTAAATTGTTTAAATCAGCACAACACTAGAGGAGTTATTGGTTGATGAACTAATTACCCAGGTCTGTGGGAGAATTAACATAAACTGAAGGGGCCCTGAAACTTGTGAGTTGGGTTGGGAGGGACAGACAATCTAACAAGACACCTAACGTTGAAACTAGTTTCCTGAAAGAAAAAAATCAATCCTCAACATGTATCCTATACCAACATAACATCCAAATGGATTAAAGGCCACTTGTAAAACAAAAATTATACACTAGCTGGGGGTGTGGTTCCCTGCAGCACAAAAAATAAGTAAATTAAAAAAAAAAAAAAGAAAAGAAAACTAGGTCAGAATGTTCATGTTCACTCCTTGAGCAGCTGGTCTGTGCCATGTTTGTGTTCTGACACAGTGGTGGGACCATGCATTTGGGAAGACACCCAAGGCTCTGCCTGAAGGGGCGAAATGTGATACAGGAGGTGTTCAGGAAGGGTCTGAGAAATGGATGTTTATCCTGAGGCCTGAGGAGAGCTGTCTGGAGGTTGGAAAGTGCCAGGCAGAGGGAGTGAGGTCAGGAGTGAGGGTCCCGTGGCTATGCTGATTGTCCTGAAGGATACAGAGCGACTGATGGGAAGCTGGGGTTTAATGGTGTATTCTGCAGCTCTCCAATAGTTCTGGAACTTATGTAAACAGAGCAGTGAGCTACTATGTTTACAGCCTGGTCTGCAACAGTTGCAGCCTTTGTTGAGGAGATAAGGGTGTAGGTGTGTGTGCACAGTCACATACATGTGCAGTGGAACTGGAGCCCAGGCAGAGCTGGTGGTGATTTGAAAGGTGCTTAATCAGGAGACAGTAATGAGGATGAGGAGAATGCAGTGATGCACTGAATATGGAGTGCTGGTGGCTGGAAGGAGGAAGGACCGGTGTCTGTCTCTCAGGCTGTCTGTGCTCTGAATGGCATCTCCAGCCCTTTCCCTGTGGAGGTTTATTGCTTTTATTTATTGATATACCCCTAGCACCCGCAAATAGTGGCTGGCACCTAGCAGGTGCTCAGTGTTTTTTGACAGAGTGAGTGGGTGAAGGATGCCTTTCAAATTTTTTCTGGTTTGAACAACTGGTAGGTAGGGCTGTTTCCTAATATGTGAGTACCAGAAGGGAGCAAGTGTGGAGGCAGGCACAGGAGGTGACAGCCAAGTATGTCAGTGTGTCAGGAAGCAATCAGATGGCAAACACCAAACAAGGAAATATTTCCAAATGTAAGGTAATCACCATCTTTGGTATGTAAAGAATGCATGAAAGTTGCTTGGAAAATGTCACTTATAGTGGCATGAATATGAATGGACAGTTCACAAAATATGCACCAGATGTGCAGATGTGCCTGGGGCAGTGTCCAGCCTGCCTGCTACTGCAGAGCACAGCCTAGATGGGCAGAGCAGTTTTCCTTATGAAAGCTGATAAGCATGGAGTAGACTGCTTGAACGGATTTGTGTAATTTTGCCAAGGAACTTAGCAGACTGCATCAGGTGCTTTAAAATGTTTGTATCTTTTGAATGGATAACTGTTTCTGGAGTTAATGATGATGCCTGAGAAAAGCCACTCCTACCATGCACCCGTCCCCACATGCCCAACTTATTCTGTAGCATGACATTCAGAGACATAGTAAGCTGGGGCACAGGTAACAATGTTGAGAGGGTGGCTGGAGGGTGGGGGCGTGGTGTTGAGTGTCGGGGGTCGATTGTGGGCTGGGAAATGTACCTATGAATCTGTGCTGAGTTTTACAGTTTACAGTTTTCTATTGTGCTTCTAGATGAAGACTGTCAGTGTGGCCTTAGTCCTGTGCCTGAACGTCGGTGTGGATCCCCCAGACGTGGTGAAGACCACACCCTGTGCACGCTTGGAATGTTGGATTGGTAAGTGCCAACTCTCTCTGTGGCCTGCTGGTGTAAATCTGAGGATTTTATTTCTTCTTGGAGTTATGTCAACCTTTAAATAATTTTAGATATATTCATCTGTATTTTGTGGAAGAGAATGTGATTTAAGGAAAGTTAATAAAGTATTGGTCATGAGTTCTATGATTTTTTCCTTTTAAATTTTCTCCGTGTCTGGCTCACAGTCATAGCTACACACACCTTAAAAATAGAATGACTGGTAGCTGCTGCAAGTGTTTATTGCAAAGGTGAGTCAAGGCATTTCTGGTAGAGTCTTGAATGATACTTGGTAGAATGCAGTGGCCAGTGACTGTTGAGTGCTCACAGTGTGTCAGACACTCTTTGTAGCACCTGACTTATTAACTCATCTGTCTCCGAGATGACTCTGCGGCAGGCTCTGGTACCAACCTGCATTTTAGAGGGTAGGGAGTGGTATAGCTGTGATCTGAACCTATGCAAAGTCTAGAGACCATGCTATTTTTTAAAAATGAAATTGTGGTGTGAAATAGGGTTAGCATGTTGAAATATACTGTCAGTGGCATTGAGCACATTCACACTGTTGTGCAGCTGTCACTACGTCATTCAACACCCCAGCTGCACCTCTGTGCACACTGCACCACTCTACACTCTCATCCCCAGCCCTTAAAGCTCCCTTCACCTCTTGTCTCCATGAATTTGTAAGGATCGCATATAATTGTCAGAGCACAACATTTGGCTTTTGTTGTCTGGCTTACTTTGCTTTGCAGGACCCTAAAAGGTCATCTAGGTTGTGGCACGTGTCAGAACCTCTTGCCTTTCTGAGGGTGAATGATACTTTGTTGTATGGATGGCGCACTTTTTGTTTATGCATTCAATACTGCTGGACATTCGAGATGTTTTCATCTTTTAGCAATAGTGAACAGACACCAGTATGCAAGTGCCTATCTGAGACACTACTTTCAATTCTGTGTATATATCAGGAAGTGGAATTGCTCTGTCACATAATAAGTGTAGTTTTAAATTTTGAGTAACCACTCCACTGTTTTCCACAGTACCATCTGATGTCTCTGCCAGCAGTGCACAAGGGTCCTAATTTCTCCACATCTTTGCTGCTTATTGTTTTGGTTTTTTTGATAGTAGCCATCCTAATGGATGTGAGGTAATATCTTGTGGCTCTGATTTGCATTTTCTGAAAGATTGGTGATGATGAGTATTCTTGTTGGACCCTAGCCCATTTTTGAAGTGGGCTGTTTGTTTTGTTGTTGAGTGTAGTAAATATATAAACATATAAATTCTGGATATTAATCCCAGCTGTGTGACTTGAAACTATGTCCTCCCATCTGAGCTGTGTTCTTTGGGATGATACACTGTATCAGGTTGGGATGTAGTTGATAAGCAGTGCCACTCACTTTTTTGGCTGTAACATATTTCTTTGAACTTTGACAAAACATACAGTACATTTGTGCCATAGATACCACCAATGTGCAGATTATTTTTGTTGTAGTACCAAGAGAGCTCCCTTGTTCACCTTTGTGGTCAGTCCCTTTCCTTTCCTTCATTCTTGGCGACACTGATGTAACTTTTGTTCCAGACAGACAGCAGGTGAGGGGAATTACATCATCTGTTGTTTTGTGTCTTGTGTCTTCCTCTGGGCAGAGTGGATGTGAGAGCCATCCATGAAGTGGCATGCATTGGCACCTGCTTCTGCTTATGTCATTTTTGTGCATGTACCATAGTTGTTTACCCACTTACCTATTGATGGAGCTTTGGCTTATTTCCAGTTTTTGACAAGTATGAAGTTTCTGCAAGTACTTGGTCTTTTGTGGATGTATTTTCTTTTGGATAGATATTTAGGACTAAGATTGCTAGAATGTATATTAAGGATATGTTCAATTTCTTTTTTAAAATAGTTTTAATTGGATTTCTTTTTTTGTCCTACAATCCAGTAGTTTCATTCCATAAAAAAGAGAAAATGTTATTATGTTCAGGGTTTTTTTTAAGCTGGTGTCTCACTGTGTAGCTCAGGTTGGCCTCAGACTTGCAGCAGCAGTCTTCCTGCCTCAGCCTCCTGAGTGCTGAGATTATGGGTGTGCACCACTGCATGCAGGCGGGGACTGTTCTTTCATGTGAATGGGTCTCATTTTTCTTTGGTGTCATAGTCATTCTGTTGGAAGCCTTCTTTTCACATTGCTTGCATTGGTGGTCTGCAGGCATTGAATTGCCCCAGATTTTTGTTTGAAGAATTGTCTTTTTTATGAGAAGGTTTTTCTCGTTTGTCGAATTTTACGCTGATGTGTTTCTTTCCATGTTTTGGTACAGTCCTGTGCTTTCTGGCTTAGTTTTTGATGGGAAGTTTGCTGTAATTCTTACCTTTGTGTCTCTGTATGTGTTTTCTCTCTTTTGGTTGTCTTCAAGATTCTCTTTTAATGTTTGAATTTTTAGTAATTGTTCTGTGATGTAACTGCTTTTTTTCCTCCCCTGTTTAGGTTTGGGGTTTATTTTTCTTGAGGTTCTTTGAGATTCTTGGAGGTGTAGTGTGATGTCTTCATTTTGGCCCTGGGGATTAGACCCTATGTTTTCTCTGTGGTGCCCAGCCTCTGTTGGGTCATCAGTATAGAATTCTGTGCCCAAGGCCTTTTCTGACCCCTTCTCTAGCGTGGACCTTTTTGCCTCTTCTCTCACAGCTTTCCTCGTTATCTTTACCTGAGTCTTGGAGTTTCCTGTACCCAACCTGAACAACAGTCTTGTCTCCATTTTTCTTCTGGAGTACACAGAGTCCAAGCCTGTGTTGTGGGTCTCCTAATTTGCTTTTTTAGAACTCTGGCTTTTGCTGCCTGGGGAGGGAGGTGGGGCCAAGGTGGGGGGAGTGTTCCTCTGCCTGATTCTATGCCTGGAGGGGTGTTGACTGCACTGTGGAATTGTACTCTGCAAAGGCTGGCCTATCGGGAACAGCACCTGTCCTGCCTCCACCACAACCCAGTGCCCTCTTCCACATTTTCTTACAACGGCCTTTGTCTGTTTATGCTGCGATAACAGAGTACCCGAGGAGGGGTACTTTATCAGTAATATCGTCACTTACAATTCAGGAGGCTGGGAAGCACAAGATCAGGTGGCTTGGTGCCTGGTACCCATGTCCTGAGGAGCTGGACTTACTGAGTAGAGATGGGGTGTCATGCGCTTTCCTGCACTTGGGGCTCTGACACAGCCAACAGTCGTGTTCTCTCCTACCTCACCCCTGTTTCTTACCCCCTCTGGCTGTTGGAGGATGATGTTTTCCTTCCTGGAAATGACTTTTTAAATTTTTTTTCCAGAGAAACAGGGGAGAGGCTGTTTTGTTTTATGGCCTGACATTAAATGCTATAGCAGTAATACAAAACACAATTCCACTGAACAATGAAATGTGCCTGTTTTTGTGGGGAATACTGTCTGTGTTTCAGAGTATAAAAAAGCTGAATGCTGAACAGGAAGAAGTGTAATTTAGCTAAAAATTTTTTTATGTGCTAGCTAGTGATAGCCATGTATCAGGAAAGATAAGAATGCCAGAGGTTTGTACAGTACATGGAGGTTCTCTCATTCTAAGGAATTATTTGGGTGGCACTTTGTTGTCTCTGTGTCTATCTGTCTGTCTGTCTATATGTCTCCTCCTCTCCCTTCTCTTCTCCTGTCTTATCCCCTCTCCCCTCTCTTTTCTCCAGGGTCTCATGCAGGCTAGTCAAGTCTTCTACCACTGACCTATACCCCCAACCCTCTTTTTTCTCTTACTTCTGAGAGGAAAGCATTCTTTTTGCCTTAATTCACAAGTGGGCGTTAAGAGAGCTGTGTCAATGGGCTAAAGTAAGGATCTCTTCCCATCCTCCCCTGCCCTCCCCTGCCCTGCCCTCCCCTCTTTCCTTCCTTCCCTTTCTTTCCCATCTCTGGGGTACTAGGGATTGAGCCCAGAGCCCCTGTACTCCTTCCTCTCTCCTTTTGAGACAGGGTCGCTAAATTGAAGTCACTAAGTTTTCCTGTACTGTGCTTAAACTTGCAATCCTTTTGCCTCAGCCTCCCATAGTGCTGAGATTACAGATGTGTGCTGTCCCATCTAGCTAATAATGATGGCTGCCTCCTGTATAGCTCTGGTGATTATAGAAAACTTACACAGACTCTGTTGTTGACCAGCACACAGGAAATCACTCAGGTTGGTGTACAGATGCTCAGTGGAGATCACATTTTAATAAGCATGGAGGTGAATACAGAAGAGCTATGAGTAGTGCTCAGGGTTTAGCTGGGAAGATCAGACTGGCACCAGAGGACTGTGGGAGATCAACATCAAGGGGTCTGGGGCTCAGAGGGTGCTATGGGAGGAGCGCCAAGTGGGCTAGCAGGGAGGCGAGAGCAAAGCTTGGAGCAGCAGACTGAGCCCACCTCTGGAGGGGCTGAGGTAACAGCCCTGTTGGGCACCCAGTGTATGGGGGTTGCTGGTCCGCATTAGCTGTGGTCACTGGCTGCCTGTGCCTTCCTGGCACAGCTGTGGACCACAGTAAGCACAGCTGAAACTTCTGCTCTTTGGGACTTGCCATTCAAAACCCTCTTCGTTTGTGAAGTTGCACTAGTCTTAGGTTCGTATCTCCATTTACTTCTCTGAGACAGGATGGCATAGTTGTTTAGAGCCTCCTCCCTTGTTCCTTTCAATTTGAGCCTTGTAGCAACCATGAGGCTGTTTTTTAAAATGAGGTACTTCAGTCATCCCTGCAAATCTGTTGGGAATCTCTCAGGCTCTTGGTTCTGTGTAACAGCTGTAAAGAACACAGTAATGTAGTTTATTTTGTAGCCACACGGGAAGTAAGAATTCAGTGGTAGGACACATCCAGCTAATAAAGACTGCTCCTGTAGAATTTCAGTCCCTGCCCCAGGACTCTAGACACTTGAGTGCTGCAGGTCTTGCCACTACCAGAGCAGTCCTTTCTGGTCCTTTGCAGCCGCAGGCTCCTGGCTTTGTCCTGGAGCTCTGTGAGGAGACAGGC